GCGGCGGTGCTGGGCCTCTCAGAGGGCGCTGGACCTCTCGGAGACCCGGCGCGGCTGAGGGAGCTCTCCTGGGGAGCCCCGCCACCGTGCACATGCACGCATGATGCGGGGTGGTGGTGGCCACCATTTTGTTTTTCAAAATGGCGGCACGCACACACACATGTGGGGGGAAGCATGCGCGTGCAGGCCCCCAACGCCATCTCCCCCCCGGCCCGTCGGCAAAAAAAGGTTGCCGACCCCTGCTCAACACTAGACAATCTCAAGACATGGACAGGCTCATATAAGGAGATACAGTTCTTCAGATAACCTGGATTTAAGCCGTAGAGGGCTTTTTAGGTCATAACCAGCACTTTGAATTGTGCCCAGAAACAGATCAGCAGCCAGTGGAGCTATTGCAAAAGGGGCACCGTAGATTTCATAGGGCATTAAGTTAATATGTGATTAAGTCCTAATATGTGATTCACTAAACTGCAAACCCCTAGATTCCATAGAATGGACATACAGCAGTGGTACTGTGAAAGGACCGCAGGAGTGGGTAACTTATGATGGTCAGAGTGCAAGTTTTGCCCTACCCTGGACCTTGAGTGTCTGCCTTCTTCACACTAATAGCCTACACACATTTCCCTCCTTGCAAAAGACATGACAACAAACCTCTTGGGAAGCAATGGGTCATATTTATGTGATTTCCTAGGCTTGTTTTAGGTCAGAAAGTGCCTTTGAACAAAACAAGAAGTAACTGGGCAACTACTTCTCATTTCTAAAAATGTCCTTTTCTGGCTTGAAACAGGCCTGGAGTGCAGGGAGGGGAGAATACATAAAAATGAAAAATCATAACCTCACAAGGTTTCTTGAGGTGAAATTTGACATTTGGGGGCAAATCAGTGAAGAGGGTGTTGCATTCCCTCCAGCTGTCCCAACTTGGCAGGGACAATCCCAATTAAACCTCATTCCACCTTTTCAGTTGCTTTTACAATGTGCAGCATTACTTCTACAACCTTGAACTGAATGTTGATGTTTGGCACTGGACCAAACCGTCCAACTTATTATGCACATATAAGAGGTCAACAGGATTCTGGCCCGTCTATATTCACCATTGGCATCCAAAACACATTGAAACTTTGTACTATTGTTGCTGAATTGCAACAATAGTTTTTTGTGGGTTTTTCCTAAAACAGTGGATGCATCCCCCAGGAGCAAAACAAAAGAAGAAATTAAATTAAAATAAATTGTATGACTGTTCTAGCTTCCCGTTATCCCTTCACTAATCGTGTAGTTTTAACTTGTAGGATCCAACCTTTCTAGCCAATTTTTCTTCAGATCTCTATATATAGATGGCGTCGATTCCTCTCAGCTAGGGTTGCCATATTCCAGTCCCTCATATTCGGGCACCTAATTTGCATATAATATGATGCAAATTATTGTAATTATAGATATTATTAATTTGCGTTCTGATTATGCAAACTCGGCACATTAATCATTGCACTTTGTCTATCATTATGTTATGATGAAGGAGAAGTCCGGGCTTTAACTGCTTCAACTGGCCCAGCTGACTGGGACATTTTTGGGTCCCTTCAATCCGGGATTTTCCAGGTTTTCTGGGGAGAATGGCAACCCTATTATCAGCACATTCTTTGTGACCTCATACTGTACTAATCATAGCAGAAAGTGACAGCAATGAAGTCTTTATGTAAAGTCATTGTTTTTCTGAAAAGGGGATGTTGATCCTTGTTTGGTCTTATTATCTGTAGGGGATTCCCCTGAACAGACTGTACCACCAGAGTTTTTTTGTGGGTTTTTTGGACTGTGTGGCCATGTTGCTGTTTTTTCCCCTCTCTTTCTTCTTCTTTTTTCTTTTTTTAATTCTTAAAAGTTAAATCATTTTGAGCTTCATTTTAAAAATATTTTTACATTTTTATTATTCACAGTACATAGTACAAATTATATGATCCATAATTCATAATATGGGACCCTGGTCCAAGGGGTCTTCTTGGCAAGATTTGTTGAGAGATTCCTGTCCTGATCAAACCAAAACCATTGGCTTGATTTCATAGAATTCTAGGAAAGAAGGTTTCCCATTGCCTTCTTGAGGCTGAGAGAGTGTGACTTGTCCAAAGTCACCCGTGGGGTTTCCATGGCTGAGCAGGAAATCAAACCCTGGTCTCCCTGTGTCCTAGCTCAACATTCAGGATAGAGGTCTATTGTTGTGTGCCTTCGAGCTCTTTCCGACTTATGGTGACTCTAAGGCAAACCTATCTCTTTAGAGGGAATTTGACATTGCCACTCTGTGAGGCTGAGAGAGTGTGGCATGCTCAAGTCAGCCAAAGTAGGTTTACATGGCAGAGCTGGGACTCGAACTCCGGTCTCCCAGTCAGGGTGAGCAGATGTCCTCACTTCAAAGGAGGACAAGGCACCACAAAATGTAGGACCTTCGACAAAGATGGGGGCCACGACCAAAGGAAAGCTGAAAACTTTCTCATAAATAAAATTCATGTCATATGGTGTATTTATATGCAGGGCTGGGGAGTAGTGGTGATTAACAAAATTAAAAAAAATTAAATGTACACTATAATAACAGGAATAAGGAGTAACTAATGTGTATTCTTACTCCTTATTCCTACTCCTACTCCTGTAAAAACCTCTTACTCCTACTCCTCAGCCCAGTTTATATGAGTTTTATATGGGAGCTACATAATAAAATACAGCTCTATGTACTATAGATGTATTTTATTATGTCAACTGTATTTTTCTGATGAACTTGTGTGTTTATGTTTGTGTTGTATGCCTTCAAGTCCTTTCTGACTTATGGCCATCCTCCTAACATGCCATCCTCCTAAAATAATGGGGTTTTGTTGGCAAATTTCTTCAGAGGAAGTTGGTCACTGCGACTCCCAAGCCTCTACTCTCAAACCAACATCTTCCTCTAGGCTCCCAACAGCCACAGGTGAGGGAGCGGTTGCGTTTGGAAGAGTTCTGGCCGCTCGCG